CTTTCAGAAAGATAGAGGAAGAACTGGTGGGGGTGGAAGCCACTGTGTGCCGGCGGGGAGGGCGCCTGGTAGGCTACGGGAGGGAAAGGGAGAGAGCTGGGCGCCGCATCCCCACTGGCACTCTCAGAGAGAACCCCTGGGCCCTCTGTGGCCCTTGCTGACCTCCCAGGGTCCTGGAGGAGGCTCACCGGTCACACATTTGGGTTTCTATCTGGGAGACTCCCACCTTCGGTGCCTCATGGCAAAGCACATATGGGGCAGGGGCAGGGCAGGGGGACGTTCTGGGCAGACCCGAAGGTTCTGGGCACTGGCGCAGTGCAGGGCCTTCCTGGGCCAGTGGGCGTTGGCATCGTCCTGTTTTGCTCTAGTCTACCCTGATGGATTTCCTGCCTCAAGAGAAACCCATCTTTCTCTGCGAATGTTTGGCAGTGGGTTTTTATTTATTTTTTCAGCATTTCCTTATGAACTCAATCCCCCAAGAAGCCAATTTCTTGGCTGGGTCTGGAGGATATGGAAGTGGTTAGGGGGTGGGTGGGACTGGGTTCAAAGGTCTGGTCATGGGAGCTGCAGGGGTTGGGTGCTCTAGGCGCCGGGGAAGGCCCATTCCCTGCCTCACCCTCCCTCCAGGAGGACAGCCTGTTCTAGGCGGAAAGGCGCTGGGGATGGTCTTGCTAGCCTGGGAAGGGTCAAGCCCGGCTCCTTCCAGGGAGCATGCCCCATCCCACTCCCTCCCTTCTCCCCATCTCCTTCAGCCAGGAACCATCCTGGGGTGGGTGGGGAAGGAGCTGGTGGAGGGTACTGGCACCTGGTAGCTGTGTCCCCTCCCTGCCCTCCATCACTGAGGGGAAGAACACCTGGCCGTCGGCGCTGTTGGCTGTGTTCCTCGGCTTGCACTTCTGGCCACCTGGGCCTCCGGAGCGCCAACAGCCAGGGGAATTCCTGACTGTTCATCTTCCCCAGAGTTTTTGGATCGCAGATCAGATTGTGTGTGTGTGTGTGTGTGTGCATGGGTGTGCACACTCACAGCAGGAACTGAACAGGATGTGCTGGGAGCTTCGGGAGTTTGTGGTTCAGGGTCTACACTCTGGCAAGGTGTGAATTAAACACGGTGTGCAAACACCCTGGGGCTGTTTCAGGACTCGGCTGGTGTGTGTTAAGTGTGGGTAAGTCGGTGACTCATGAACACCGCCGACTCTGAGAAAGAATGCCGGGCAGAGGTGGGTGCCCAGTGTGGAGGGCAGGCGTGACGGGCTGGCTTTCAGCCAGGCTGGCGACCCCGAGGACGGCCCGGTGCACCTGAGGTGGGGCACACTCTGGGCCGCGAGCGCGGGGTATGGTGATTCCATGTGGATAAGCCCGGAGTTGGGCTCCATGGCTCCACACAACGGGGGCCTCCTCCTCGGGGGAGGTGGGCGCCCACCCCTCTGGCTGGGGCTCTCCTGAAGCATCCCTCTTTGAAATCTCCTAAAGCAGCGACATCCGGCATAGGAGGTGGGGAGGGGTACGCATGCCAGGCCTGGCCGCGGGCGTGCGCTCTTGCTCGGACGCCTCCTGAACTCCCGCTCTCAGCAGGGTGAGCGAGGCTTCCATTTTCTGGCTGCGAGACTGAAGCCCCGGAGGCCAAGCCAGGCTGACAGCCCTCGGGGGAGCCGGAATGAGCGTGGGCTTCAGTGATACCCTGGCGTGACCCAGGGCAGGCATTTGACCCAGGTGTGGCCTGGGGTTGAGCCAAAGCCACTGTGCTGGGTCGTTGCCCACTGGCCGGCTTGCTGCCTGAGCGTCCCCTTCGAGCAGAGTGGAGAGTGTACTTGGGGCAGCACGGAGGGCACTGGGGTCACCACAGGCAGACCCCTTCGCAGCTGTGCACAGGACAGGTCATTGTACTTCGGTTTCATTCCTCTTAAAATGGAGACACTGATGGCATGACCTCAAGCGGCCACTGTGCAGATGTGGTCAGGCCAACAGCGACCTGGCAGGGAGCGGAGCTGTGGGGCTCACCAGCTGCCCCGTTGGGTCCTGCTCACCTGATAGCTCCTGGCCCTGAATCTTCCCCTTCTTCAAGTCGGCGCCCTGCAATAGAGACAGGCGGGGTGTGGTCAGCGCTGGGGCAGCGAGGTGCCCCACCTCTGCCCGGGGTCCTGGTCAGGTGTTCCTCCAGGGAGGAGGAGGATGGCTGCTCTGGAAATGGAGGCCTTGGGGGTCCGGGGGCAGGAGAGAAGACAGGCATGGATGGTGAGGAGGTGGCTGGAAGCAGGGGATGGGCTGCCTGACTCCTGGGGAGTCCTCATAGGACAGTCCCCAAAGGGCCACCACATGATGGCCACTGCACCCTGAGACTGGCTCGGGACGTAGCTGTCAACCTGCAGGGTCTGGTCAGATCGATGGGAGAGCTGGCCGCTCTCAGGGGCCCAGGAGGGACCTCTAGATTATTAGGCCAATGGCCACCTGAGCAGCAGGGTGGGGTGGGGGGACGGGGACGGGGGGCAGGAGGCGCTGGACCCCGAGTCTGCAGCAGCTTCTTCCGCCTTCCGGGGACTCAGCCCGCCACCCCTCAGTGGTTTCTTGGGCCCTGGGATGGCCTCAGTTTCCCTCCTTCTCCTCCTTCACAGCCTCCCTCCTCCTGTCCGCGCCATGTCTGTGGGATAGCGAGGCGACCCCGGGGCGGGCGCTAATTACTGTTTGTGCAGGACGGGAGAGGTGCAGATGAAAGAGCTGGAGCCAGGCCCTGGGTCTGTGCCACGGCTGGGGCCCCGGGCCAGGCCAGGGAGCCCCACGGCCCCTAGGTGTGGGGTTTATAGCCGTAATCACGGCGATTACTGTGGCTCCTAATCGTGCCATCACCTAACTGTGGCCTGGCCACCTGGCCACCAAGCCGTCCTGCAGCCCTAGCCCCTTGTTTTACAGAGGATGAGGAAAAACGTGGGGGCCCCTCTGGAGCAGTGGCACGCGCCATTCCAGAATCCCCTGGTGCAGCTTGCCCTCCACTGTCCTTATGCTGGGCCCCTTCGCCAGATGTCCCTCTGCCCGGGCTCATTCCTACAGGTCTAGGTCACCTTTGTCAGAGGCAGGGGGACTGAGGAGGACAGAGCCCTCCACCTCGAGCCCCTCAGCCCTCGCCTCTGTGCAGGGGAGGCCCTCCCTGGTCCATTCTTTCCTGCTCAGGCGCTCTGGGCAGCTTCGGCCCAGTCCCACCAGTGTAGACTGGTACACACTCGGCCCAGCAATCCGCTGGCGCCCTGGCCTGGGGCCTGGCATGACCTAGGGCTGGCATTTGGCCCAGGTGTGGCCTGGGGCTGAGCCTGGAGCCTCGGGATGAGACCAAAGGGCTAGAAATGGAGGCTCCTCCCCTCGACACCCATTTCTTCCAGGAGAGGAGGGAAGGGCCTGCAGAGGCCTGGAGCCACTATCCCAGAATAGCTCTCTGGCTTCCCAGTGGGCCTGAGAGATCCTGGCTGAGCCCGGGAGTGAAGCCAGCCCAGCCTGCTCTGTGCTCCCTCCTCCCTCCGGTCAGCCCAGCCAGCTCCGAGCTCCTGCCGCCCTCTTCCCTTCTGCTTGCAGAGGATGGGGCAGAGAGTGTGTGTGTGGGTCCCCTCTGGAACAGTGGGGCCTGGTCCCTCATCCCTTCAGCCAGCCCAGCCAGCGGTTTATTTAAGCAACAGCAACATAAATGGCAGTTTCTTCCCAATCCCCCGCAGGCTTGGGTCCCACCCAGTGTGATAAACAGGACTCTCTCCTCGGAGTGAGGGCAGGGAGGGGAGGCTGGCTGACCATCGGGTCGGGAGTTGGCCTGTGTGGGTCAGGAGCTAGAGCTGTGGAAAGTCTGATCTGGAGCCGTGCTCGGGTGGGAGAGCTCTCCTTCACCTTCTTTGACTAGGGGAGCTTCTTCTCATCAGCTAGGCCAACTTGGCAAAGACCTTGCAAACCTTTGGGATGGGTTCACTGAGGCAAGCCGCCACGCTTCCTGCCACCTCCCTCCCGCCCCGCCCCTGTGCTGGTCCCCGGAGCCGGCTGTGGACAGACAGCAGTCCTGGCCGGCAGGAAGCGTGGAGAGAGGAGGCCGGGCTGAGGGCCTGCCGGGCCCGAGGGCCTGCAGTGTGTGCTCGGCTTGGGCCAGGTCCGGCTGAGCTCCCTTCTCCATAAACCTTCCCTCACTGGCTGGTCAGCAGTCCGTGCCCTGTGGGGGCCTTAAGAAGCTGAATTCTAGAAGGCGAGAGTGCTAGGCCCCAGAGAGGTCAAGCTGTGTGCCCAGAGCCACAGGTGCAGTGAGTGGGGTCACCCAGGACGCTTGCGGAGGAAGGAGCCTTCTAACCCAAGCCCTCCAGCCTGGCCAACATGCCCGGCCCTCTCATCCTTTTTCTGCCGCTTTGTGACAATGCTTTGCCCCTCTGGGAGGCATTGTTTTTGAAAGACCATTGTTGAAGTTCCTGGATGCTGCCCAGCCGGCTGGGGCTGCCAGGGACACAGACAGCCCATCCCCGTCAACTTATACAATGTTCCAGTGGGTCCGAACACCACCTCCCGCCTATAGTTGCCTTGGGAAGCAGGGACTCTCCAGGTGGGTGGGATTCAGGGGCTTCAGGAGGTGAGAGGGGGCGTCCACAGTTGCCAGTACTGCCTGGGGAGGCTGAGCGAGAGGCTGCAGGGGTGAGCCCTCTGTGTGAGTGACACAGACACCACACCTGCATCTCTGCAGGAGGCAGACTGTGAAGTGCTCCCCACACCCTGGGCTTCCTCACCTCTACCTGCAGCTTCCACCTGCCCCCACCCCCAGGTGTACCCCTCACCTCTACCTGTAGCCTCCACCTGCCCCCACCCCCAGGTGTACCCCTCACCTCTACCTGTAGCCTCCACCTGCCCCCACGCCCAGCCTCCAGGTCTACCCTCACCTCTACCTGCAGCCTCCACCTGCCCCCAGCCTCCAGCCTCCAGGTGTTCCCACTCCTCTGAAAGTTCGGCTGGCACAGACCAAACCTCCTTTCCTCACTCCAACTAAGATAGGCTGACATTTTCAATAGGAACTTGTCTAAATGTTAAGGATAAAAAAGGAAATAATTACAGAAATTACAAACAGCATAGCTGTAGCTGGGATTCGATCTGCAAGAACACAGAAGAAGCCAGGACGGGTGTACCGGGACAGCAGGACAGGAGTGGGAGGGTTAGGGCAGTGTGTCTGGGAGGGCGCTGTCAGCCTTTCTGAGTGGCAGGGCCTGGATGGCCTCCGGACGGTAACTGTTTACCCACCAGCATCCTCTGGAGATGGGGAGCCTGGTACCCATGAGCCTCCTGGCGAGGGTGGGCAGGAGGGGTGGACGACTGCTCAGTAGCACCCCTAGATGGTCGGGATGGAAGAGGAGTAGTAGCTGCTCCTTTTGCTTACGAGTAGGTTCCAGATGTGCACATGTATGCATGTGTGTGTGCGCACGTGTGCATGTTCATGTGTGTGCACACGTGTAGGGGCCTCGGTATGCACATGACTGCTGGGCACAGGAGTGTGTGTGTGCATGTGTGTGCATGTGCGTGTGTGTCCATGTGCATAGGACCTCGGTACGTGCATGACTGCAGCACAGGAGTGTGTGTGTGCGTGTGTGTGCGCACGTGTGTAGGGCCTCGGTACGTGCCTGACTGCGGCACAGGAGTGTGTGTGTGCGTGTGTGTGCGCACGTGTGTAGGGCCTCGGTACGTGCCTGACTGCGGCCCAGGAGTGCATGTGTGCATGCGTGTGTGCACGTGTGTAGGGCCTCGGTACGTGCCTGACTGCAGCACAGGAGTGTGTGTGTGCGTGTGTGTGCGCACGTGTGTAGGGCCTCGGTACGTGCCTGACTGCAGCACAGGAACAGGCACAAGTTGCTCGCACCTCCCCGGAGGAGCCGGCCTCTGTGGACACTCTGGAGGACTTTCTGGGTCTTGCTTTCCAGCTCTTTCCCATAGAGCCCACTGCCCTCTCGAGCTCACCAGGAAGGGATGTGGGGCTCCCCCCAGAGGTCACACAACCCCACTCTGGGACCAGGGCGATGCAGTCCCCGATTTGCTCCGCCGATTGGTCGGGGTGAGCACACAGAGCCGGAAGCCAGGGCTCATGTTTGAAGGAGCCTTCGGCACTGACACTCCGGAGCATCATGCCGCTCACGAGTGCTGACAGGGGAGACCGCCATCCCCCTGGGACTGAAAAGCCAGGGCAGGGACCGCATGTGGCCCCTCTGGGCAGCCCGTGAAGTGCTCTGCACGCAGTTGTGTGGTGAACCATGTCAGCGCCTAGGCCCCTCTATCCCCCGCCACTCTGGTCAGCTCAACCTCCAAACTGCTGCTCCCAGCCCCAGGGCCCGCTTCCCCTGTGCAGCAGAGAAGCTGTGCAGGGCTGCTGAAACCCCTGCTGCAGCTTGTGCCAGTGATGGACAGCACACGTGTGTGGACACGCCGGCGCCTGGCCTGGGTGATGCCTCTGAGAAGAACATTTCCTGCTGGCCCCAGGTACCACAGCGGGATGGTTTTACTCATGAGGCTTGGTGGTTGCCATTCCCTGCCTTACTGACCCCTCCCTTACTGACATTTCCTCATGTCATGCTGCAAACTTGTGTTAGAATCCCTGCCTCAGGCTCTGCATCTGGGGGAGCACACACTAAAGCAGGAGACATTCAAAAAAGAAAAAAGATATATGTATAAGAAACAAGAAATGGAAAATGATTGGTTGATAACATGTTCAGTGAACGAATGTAAAATAAATTAATTAAAAAGAAAAGCAGAAGACATTTGTGGACTGAAGGGAAAGAAGGCGTTCGAGTGGTGTACGCAGAACATTTTGGACCCTTTTAAGTGTTGGGGACTGGGTGGCCTTTGCCTAAAGTGTCATGGGTAACTCCCTTCTGATGACTGCTCTGTTACCCTCTGCCCTCCCAGGCCAGGCCCAGAGTCCCCTCCCAGAATTGCTCCTGTTGTAGGAGACCCTTGGAGAACCAGACAGGGGAGCCACAGATGAGCCCTGTCAGCGAGGACAGCCAGAAAGCTGCTTTCTGAAACTGTTTTCCGAGTTGAGGGTCCAGTGACGCTTTGCCCTGCCCTGACTCTTGGGCTGG